TATGGTCTTTACTGGGGCGTGTTTATCCAATGTATTTAAAAATATTTCATTAAAAATGGTTAGTTTTTCATCAACATTGTCCATTCTGAAAATGGAAACAAGACGATCACGGTTGGATGCCAGATCGATCGCGAATAAATCAGGGTCGTATTTATTGTAGCTGCGGGTAGTGATATAGTTTGGTGGAGATTTGTCGGTTTTAAGTTTTAGTGATACATACACAGGGAAATGATCGCTGATACAGGTTTCTATGACGCCGCTGTTGACTACTAGTCTTGGCGAGGATACGAAAATAACGTCGACGAGGGTCTGACTGGATTCAGTAATTCTTGTTGGTGATTTTATTAACTGGTTAAGGTTGAGTTCTTTTGTCGTCTTGATCAAAGACGCTGATCCAGGTGTGGGCTTAAGCATATCGCAGTTTAGGTCTCCAAGAAGAATGATCAACTTTCCCATCGTCAGAGCATGAACATAATTAGGTTTAAAATATTTTTCGAAGCAGTCAAGCGGGCTGTCTGGGGGTCGATAAGAGACACAGACCAACAGTGATTTAGATTTTTTGTGCTGTAATTTGATCCATAATTGATGGAAATTCGTCTCGGAGATATAACTGAGGTCTTTAAGTACAAGAGATTTAATATCTTTTCGTATGTAAGCACATACCCCGCCCCCTTTCTTGTGCAGTCGGTCTAAACGATGTAGCTTATAACCTTCGATTTCTATTTCCTTGTTTGTGACGGAGGTATTTAACCATGTCTCTGATACTGTAAGGACGTCAATTTTGTTAAATTTGGTAAACTTACGTAATTCTAAAAAATGGGCGTTATTTTTCAGAGAGCGGATGTTTAGGTGGACCAGTTTGAGACCTGGAAGGGTACTGAAGCTGTTATCTGACTTTTTTGTTAAATGGGCTGAGGCCGTATCATTAGTGGTTTTTGATGTGAATGACCACGAGAGTGCGGAAGCGTTTGGAAGGGCAGGGTTGGACAAAGGAACACGAACAAGATTTCTATTTTGCAAGTTACTGTTAACACTAGAAGAATTATTAATGGTTAGTTGATATGATAGTCTCTGACGTGATGGTCTCTGACGTGAAGTGATTCTAACAGGTATTTTCATCATATTGTCTGCTGCTGACTCGTCAAACAGGCCACTGTGTGGAGATGGGCCAACCACTCTAGAGAGTGGTGGCGGTGGGCTGTCCGATACGAAGGAATGACACGACAACGTTTTAAAAAAGGATACCGACTACAATGGTGCCTTCGAAACCCTAAGGGGTTTGTAACTTGACCGTGTCTAAGACTTGAGGGTCTCGGGGCTGGAAGATGAGGGGACGAAGAATGCTTTAGATTTGACTCGCTGATTGACCTATCCGATCGGGGATTCACCTGGTCAGGGTTAAGGGCATCAAGGCTTAACACGGTTTTTGCATAGGATCGGTCGCAATTCCTACATATGCCTTGCTTCCCACGTTGCTTGAAATGTTGACACCCATCGGATAAATCCTGCTCACGCTGATCTAATTCATTTTCGTCAAAAGTGAGGTTTGCAGAAACATCTTCGATTATACAGTACCGCTCAGAATTAACCTAACACTGCGGTTGCGGTCGTTTTGCGGTTAGCGTGCGGTTAACGTGCGGTTATCGGGCGGTTATCGGGCGGTTTTTTTGCGGTTTAGCCCACGCATCGGCAAGAAGCTAACCGCGGTTTTAATATGCATTCTCATTCCGAGGTTTTCCGACCAAAAGCAGTAAAATATTCACGGTATAGCATGTCTTCATTAATAAAATGCTAACTTGTGCTATAATATAACAGCTAAGAGAAAGCTTAAAGGCTGTGGTGTCAGCTTCAATTATAATAAGGGCCACAGCAGATCGTCGATTATAATAAAGATTTATAATACAGGCTCGATTGTTAATTATAATAAAGTTTTATAATAAAGGCTCCAGGTTATAACGTGGGCCATGTGCCTAAAAGGCCGAGATTTTATTTACCTTTTAGGTACACGCGTTATAACCTTTAGCCTTTATTATATTAAAGAGGAAAGTTAATTTAAGTTGATGCGCGCGCCGAATTCTTACTTATTCTAAAACATCTATTTAAACTACAATAAACAAAAAGAGACCTATTTGCCTTCACCCTTCGTTTAAACTCTTAGATATTCCAACAACTGAAGTATTTGTCAAAAGTAAGGAGACAATTCGCTTCCTGGCATAAAGCGACAGCCTCCCCATGCCTCAATGTTTACAAAATATGTCAATATTTATAAAGCACACACAGAGTTTTTATACTGACCCCTTCGGAAATACACGAATATTTACGAATGTTATTACGAGTATATATGAAGTTTGCGGTTCGGTTGCGGTCAAACCTCGGTTAAACCTCACGGTCACCGCGGTTTAACCTCAAAATTACCGCGGTCAAACTGAGGTTAAACCGCGGTTTTTGTTAGGTTAATTCTGAGCGGTACTGTACTTAGATCTTCGCATAAGGGCAAATAGTTTAAAACATTCTTAGCCTGAAAAGGCTCGCGATTCAGGCTTAATGAGTAATCTTTTTTGAAGGAGTTGATTGTAGTCTTAGATTGTTGTGTGGATAATAGGGCATTGTTCTTTATTTCAATGATAACTGTAGGGAAACTTTCCTCAGCGGGCAGGTTATCTACATTAACTGGGGTTGATAATGCACCAGATGGGTGATTTATTTTAGTTGATCCATCGTGTTGGGGATTTACATTGTCAGGACTGTTAAAGGACTTCTTATCTTGTAAAGATGGCTTTGAGGGACTTGAAAAGGTTATGGAAGCCGAGTCTTTAATCATCATTTTCTCCTCTAGGTCGGTAATGCGTGACATTAAATTCAAATTCTCGTTTCCTAATCGGCACAGCTCTTGTTTATTTGTGTCAATAATATGATTTTGTTCAGACACTTTAGTCAACAATTTTTCTATTTGCGATTCTATTTTTTCTTTAAATGTAAGGAGTTGTGCCTCGGCTATAGTCGGGATACCATCAGCTCGTTGTTGAAATGGTGTAGAAAAGCTGGCTGTCTGAGCAAAATTCGGCGTGGCTGCGACATTCGCAATATAATATGCGCTATCAATGAAGTCCTCAAGTTCTTCGAGTGACGAAGTGTCAGCAATCGATTCAAACCCCATATCTTTGGCTTGAGTATTGTACGAACAATTGTGAGTTAAAGGGGCCATGTCCTCAAACACACGGCCATTACCAACAATATGTTCGCCTTCGACCGACATTTTTGTAGTTGTTTGGATTAAACTATCCGAGGTCGTATTTGTTTGCTTAATAACGCAATTTGTGTCTAATACGCTCACTAGAAATTCCTTGAAAGATTTGCCTTTCTTTCCATTGAAAGTCAACGAGTTTTGTTTGCCCGGGTACCAAGTCATAATAAAATCCGAGCTTAAGTTTATAAACTGTTTGGCTTTACCGCCAGGCGACGTCCATTTACCCGTTAATCCGACAACATTTTCGGCAAAAGTCCTTAACGAACAGAGGTCGTTTGTCCATTTGAGACGGATCCCATCATAAACTAGATGACCTTGATTGTTTTCAATACTAGTTTCTAATTATTGACTAGCTATAGGAATTTTAGGGTTTTTTTGCATGTTGTCGAAATACTCGGTGATTTGCTCGAGAAATGGTACGTTATTGTAATACGTCTTCATGTAGAATCCCGGCTAACAATTCTTTCAAGCCGGCAAGGACTTTCTCGGTTGTGGGATAAGTGTGCGGATCAGAGCAAGTGTCAGTTGGTGTTGTATTCACCTGCGCCCCGTCCGGATCAGCAATTAGGAACCCTCCGGTTTTCATAAAGAATCCTTGAAGGTCACATATTCGATTGTAAACACTCTCAGAGGGCATCGTGAACTTGAGAATCTTTTGCAAATCGCCACCCGTTTTATAACGTGCCTGCTGTTCCTGCTGATATGCTCTCACCTTATTTACTAGAGTACTGATGGTGCCGAAGTAAATGTAAGATCTTATTGACTGCATCATTCCTTGGTCGGCTGGGACCCACTTGCACCGCATTTTAACCTGAGAATGGGAAAATAAACAAACTATTTAAGGGACGGGTCATAAAGTGTCTGCAGGGGGGGGGGATGAATTTTAGTGCGTCGCCAGTTTCCGACATTAAACTCTAAGAGAACTAGTATGATCTTAAACAAAATTTAGCGGGGAAAGCGTGTTTTTTTCACACCAATATGGCTGCCTGAACCTTCAGTAAAAACGCGTATAAAACGCTCTAAACCTTTGTTGCGGTGGCGGCAGCGCAATTTTCAGTCTCAGAAAGTTTTGCTAGTAAAGTCAGTAAAGTAACTAAAATCGTTAAAAAAGAGAAAAAGTGTTCTCCGAAAAGTCACGAAAAAATAAAAAAACACTTTCATGCACGAGGACGGAAAAATATCAATTTACGAGTCACGAGAAATTAAAAATAAACTCTCATTCACGTTTGACAACACGTCTGACGCAAAGCAAAAAATCCCAATTCACGCGTCACGAAAAAGGTATAGGGGACCCTCTAATCTGGATTTAGAAGTGGCTAAATCAATATTTTAGTCAATGTTTTTTATATGCTTTTTTACCCAGGTATAATTTTCCCATAATAATCCAGGACATTGAGTTGAGCTTCAACAATTGTCTTCAATGCATTCAGCTCGATGAGTAGTAGAGTCTCGCAAATATGAGACTCAAGGCACACTAAAAGGCCTACATCATCCATTTCTTTGATCTGGCAACCACGTTTCGAGGCTCCTGCACCCGTAGTTTTACAGAATGAAGCATAGTCGATATTTCCAGGTTGCTGTCTCGCCTTTATCACCAACTCCAAAGCTTTTTTAAAGTCAGGCTCGCTGGCAATCAAGGCGAATTGTTCGATCGCGACCAATACTATTAGGGTCATCAAAACTTGTTTTCCAAATAATTCCATCTTTCCTAACCTATTTAACGCAATAATATAATAATAAGAAAACAAAGGAATATCACATGTTGTATCGGATATACAAACTCGAACCGAAGGCAATTAAGTCTTTTATAAAGCCACTTATTGAAGTTTAATCTTATTGTATCGTTTAGGTAGTGAGTAGAACTTTTGCTGCTTGTTGTTGTTGTTGTTATCGACTACCTACACTGGCCACATATTGAAGTTTGAATCTTATTGTATCGTTTAGGCAGCGAGTAGAACTTTTGCTGCTTGTTGATGTTGTTATCCACTACCTACACTGGCCACATATTGAAGTTTGAATCTTATTGTATCGTTTAGGCAGCGAGTAGAACTTTTGCTGCTTGTTGATGTTGTTATCCACTACCTACACTGGCCACATATTGAAGTTTGAATCTTATTGTATCGTTTAGGCAGCGAGTAGAACTTTTGCTGCTTGTTGATGTTGTTATCCACTACCTACACTGGCCACATATTGAAGTTTGAATCTTATTGTATCGTTTAGGCAGCGAGTAGAACTTTTGCTGCTTGTTGATGTTGTTATCCACTACCTACACTGGCCACATATTGAAGTTTGAATCTTATTGTATCGTTTAGGCAGCGAGTAGAACTTTTGCTGCTTGTTGATGTTGTTATCCACTACCTACACTGGCCACATATTGAAGTTTGAATCTTATTGTATCGTTTAGGCAGCGAGTAGAACTTTTGCTGCTTGTTGATGTTGTTATCCACTACCTACACTGGCCACATATTGAAGTTTGAATCTTATTGTATCGTTTAGGCAGCGAGTAGAACTTTTGCTGCTTGTTGATGTTGTTATCCACTACCTACACTGGCCACATATTGAAGTTTGAATCTTATTGTATCGTTTAGGCAGCGAGTAGAACTTTTGCTGCTTGTTGATGTTGTTATCCACTACCTACACTGGCCACATATTGAAGTTTGAATCTTATTGTATCGTTTAGGTAGTGAGTAGAACTTTTGCTGCTATTTGTTGATGTTGTTATCCGCTACCTACACTGGCCACATATATTGAAGTTTGAATCTTATTGTATCGTTTAGGTAGTGAGTAGAACTTTTGCTGTAAAACTTTGCAATCTTACTAACTTTGGGATGCTCTTTAACGCTGCATGTTGTTATGACTAGCGCTATTTTGAACTTTTTAATAAGCTTGTCTACTTTGCAATCGGTCTATTGAAATGATTGTATATCAATGCTCTGCTAATAGTTCTTTTTATCATTCTTATTTAAAATATTTTTAAAGAGCGCTTTCCCCGATCGAGGGCCGCCCTCGAATAAGCGTCGCATCCTCAACCTTAAAGGCCGTTTTCCACTTCAAGCGTGTCGTTACGTAACGTAACGTAACGTAACGTAACGGAGCATTTTCTTTTGTGTCGAAGTCATTAGATCCACTTCACTGCTCAGGAATTAACAATGACATACGCTACGTTACGGCACGATTCGCTTGAAGTGGAAAACGGCCTTAAGAATCAGTTAAAGAAGAGCGCGGCGCTCAAACGAGTAAATACGGTATTAAGGTTTTAAACTAAATTCATACAATTCTTAATATTACGTACACCAAATGAATAATCTCCGAGCCGGAGGCGAGGGTAATAATTCCGCACGGCTATTTACACCCAAAGTTCCTCAGCTTGGCCGCCATTTTGGGATATCGTCGAAGGGTTGTCATCCACTGATCTCAAAATTAAGGCGGACTATCACGAAGGGCGAACACTAAAGGCTTTCGAAGGCGAAAACAAAGACGAAAACTATTGCTGCAAGACTATAAAAAACTCCTGAGACGACATAAGTGCTGAAAAACGACAGAAAAGCCAGGGGAAAGGACAATGGACTGAAAAACAAGACGAGCGTAATCGGCGTATGTATTGTTTACCTAACTAGAAATACATACATGCATGCAGCGACCCCTCGCTCGCCTTACTAAAACGTACCAAGACTACTACATTAACTCAGTGCAACGGTACTATTGTCATAATAACAACACGGGAAATCGGCAATTCATATTTTTCGGTATATTTTTCAAAAATGAGGAAATATTGGCAAAATTAAGCCAATATTCGTTCGTATTCTTTTACATCTAAAGTTCGTTAGTATTTAGAAATAATAAGAAGGCAGTCTTGCATGCATTTACAAAACGTAAAATTTCTTAAATTAAACTGTAAACAGATCGAATGCGGCTAAGCCGGCAATTCATATTAAATAGGCAAACAATATACATATGCTGATTACGTTCGTCTTGTTTTTCAATCCATTGTCATTTCCCCTGGCTTTTCTGTCTTTTTCCAGCATTTATGTCTTCTCAGGAGTCTTTTATAGTCTTGCAGCAACAGTTTTCGTCTTTGTTTTCGCCTTTTCGAAACAGGGCCGTCGCAAAGGTTGTTGAACTGGGGGGTGTGAGCGCCCTGATTTTGCCGAAAAATGGGCGTGGTCAACAATAAACTGATTTGAAAGTAATAACTCCCCCCACGGCTAAATGCGAAAATGCGAAACAGTTTTTGCATTGTTTTCACAGCTGTTTTCACACGAAACTGTTTTCACATCGCAAATGCGAAACAGTTTTTACATTTATTTATTGAAGACGAAACAGTTTTGCCGACAAATGATTGAATTGCCGACAGTGGCAGATTTTTTTTTGGGGGTCCACACCCCCTTCGCGACGCCCCTGTTTCGAAAGCCTTTAGTGTTCGCCCTTCATGATAGTCCGCCATAATTTTGAGATCAGTGATGATGACCACCCTTCGCCGATAGCCCAAAATGGCGGCAAAACTGAGGAACTTTGGACTCCGCTATGCTGTCCTTTACCCGGGTGTAAATAGCCGTGCGGAATTAGTACTCTCGCCTCCCGGCGCTTCCCGCCTCCGGCTCGGGGATTATATGAATTGCTGGCTTAGCCGCATTCGATCTGTTTGCAGTTTCATTTTAGAAATTTTTTTAAATACTAATAAACTTTAGATGTAAAAGAATACGAACGAACATTGGCTTAATATGGTTTCATTTCAAATACGATATTTGTGTAAAATAAAAATATAGTTTCTTGAAGTTAAAACGTTTTTGAACGTTTTATGCGAGTATTTTACATGAAATTTAAGTTCAATGACATTAGTGTGACTTATATTCTGCAAATTAAAAAATTGTCAATAAAAACCAGGTTGAAAACTGATATTTTTGCCAATATTTCCTCATTTTTGAAAAAACATAACGAAAAATATGAATTGCCGTGTTGTTGTTATATTTATAGCAATGCACATTACTTCATGTTGCTAGAATATAATTGCACTGAGTTGAACGTAGTCTCGGTACGTTATAAGTAAGGCGAGCGAGGGGTTGCTGCATGTATGTATTTCTAGTACATATATCAATCGGTTGCAAGCCAGGATACAGCACTAAGAAATTAGCCAACCATACACTGTTGAGCATTTTTGCTTTATACTGTTTATCACACAAAACTAATAGCCTTGAGGCTAAAATACTCATGAAGTATCTTGTTAAATTATTTTAATAATTTTCCTTTAATTTTCCTCGGAGAACGAGGATGCATCGTATTATTTCAATATGTAGCCACTGTAGTAGCATTAAAACAATATTAACACGCAGCAAAAGTTCTACTTACTACCTAAACGACACAAAAAGATTCGACCTTTTCTGAACAAAAGCCCTTCGTTGGATTTTTATATCCGGGAATACTACTAATTCGTGTGATCCTGACTACAAATTCCTGAGCGGCCTTCGAATCTCACTGTATCGTTTAGGTAGTGAGTAAAACTTTTATGGTAATTTGATATTGTGTTATTTCCGTTCAAGGCATTTGCATTTATATATCAAACTTCCGATGTGGCCAGTGTAGGTAGCAGATAACAACATCAACAAGTAGCAAAAGTTCTACTCACTACCTAAACGATACAATAAGATTCAACGTTTCGAGCAAAGGCCCTTCATCACATACACTAATCCCCGACAAAGAGATCCAAATCTGTCCAAGTCGAATCTGTATCGTTATCTTATAATTAGGTAGTGAGTAGAACCTTTGCTGCTTGTTGATATTGATATATCCTATTTCATAAACATACAGTCTACCATTTATAATATCATATGGTGCAAAATGATGCCCTCAAAGATCAACTACCCAAGCGAGTAGCTGGGATTGCAATAGTCCAAAATGGAACATGAATTTGTAACGATTTCGTTCGGTCTTTGTTTGGAAAATTTATGCGTTAACTTGAAAGTGAGTGTGGTTGTCGACTGGCAGAACTCGCTAGTTTGCGCACGAAAGTATGAATAAGAAGATATTGAAAAACTTACCGAATGTTTTCGATGCAATGTTTCGTTTGCCTTCGTTTTATAAGCTGTGAAGAGGCTTTCAAAATCTCGTGATCAACGCTTGATCAGAAGCTTGACGCTTTTGTAATTTCCTGTCCATGGGGGGTATTGAAGCCGGGTCAAATGAGGATGAGAGTTGATGAGAGTTGAGAAGCGAGAGTTTGCACGAGAGTTCTGTCAACTGTCATGCGCTGGTCAAACGAGGATGAGAATTGAGAAGCGAGAGTTTGTACGAGAGTTCTGTCAACTCTCATGCGCTGGTCAAACGAGGATGAGAGTTGATGAGAGTTGATGAGAGTTGAGAAGCGAGAGTTTGCACGAGAGTTCTGTCAACTCTCATGCGCTGGTCAAACGAAGATGAGAGTTGATGAGAGTTGAGAAGCGAGAGTTTGTACGAAAGTTCTGTCAACTCTCATGCGCTGGTCAAACAAGGATGAGAGTTGATGATAGTTGAGAAGCCAGAGTTTGTACGAGAGTTCTGTCAACTCTCATGCGCTGGTCAAACGAGGATGAGAGTTGACAAGCGAGAGTTTGCACGAGAGTTCTGTCAACTCTCACGCGCTGGTCAAACGAGGATGAGTGTTGATGAGAGTTGAGAAGCCAGAGTTTGTACGAGAGTTCTGTCAACTCTTATGCGCTGGTCAAACGAGGATGAGAGTTGACAAGCGAGAGTTTGCACGAGAGTTCTGTCAACTCTCATGCGCTGGTCAAACGAGGAAGAGAGCTGATGAGAGTTGAGAAGCGAGAGTTTGTACGAGAGTTCTGTCAACTCTCATGCGGTGGTCAAACGAGGATGAGAGTCAGGGGCGAAACTAGAACGTTAATTGGGGGGGGGGGGGGTATATTCTATATTCATGTTTTGCCAGCAGTTTTTGAAATTAATTCAAAACAAGCAGTTTCAAAAGAAATCCCCGGGGCAGAACACGAATATATGAATATACCCCCCCAATTAACGCTCTAGTTTCGCCCCTGATGAGAGTTGATGAGAGTTGACCAGTCATTGATGTTCATGAATGGTCAACCGCACACAAACTCTCATCAACTCTCATTAAAGTTTGAAGCAGTTCAAAGTCGATGAGAGTTGGCGGTCAAACGCGAGCGAGAGTTAAACTTGCCTTTTCGTTTGATCCTGGCCTAAAAGATGTTCCTTATTAATTCAACGGGTAAACCCGTAAATCTGGCGCTCAAAATACAGGAAATGCCTTTTTCGAGCTTCAAATTTCAAAATTTTCCGAGGAGAGTGCCCCTGGACCCCTCTCCTATGCGCGCACCAACTGCGCTCGACTATTGACTTCGCCACGGGACCGCTGCTGCCCCCTGCCAAAAAATCCTGCCTACGGCCCTGAGGCCGGGTATCCAAGCTTTAAATAATTCTAAAACAAAAAATCTACTCTAATAATTCAAAAGCAGTAGAATTGCAAAATTTGGTGGGAAAATGTTGCAGTGTGTGGAAAATGTTATAGCCTTATAAAGTACATTTTGTGGTAACAATTTCGCACGTGACACAGCAATAAGAAAATTTGGGGAAATCGTAAAGTTATATTTTCCGTAGTTTACACCATTTCGCCACCAAATTTTGAAATTTTACTACTTTAAAAAGGTTCTTTCTAGGAATTTGGTTTGATTGACTAGATCAAAAATTTGTCTCTTGTGCAAATTGTCCATTCAGCGCAAAAACGTTCACGCACTACAAAATAAATCGCTTGGAACAGCCATAAAGAAATTGGTTATCTCAAAACCAAAACGAGGGGAAACAGCTAATTTCTCACTTATACTTTATGATAGAAATATCCAATACATCGGAATTTAATTAACTAACAGTGTCTTAATTATTCAGTTTAATGTTACTACTATTGGAATTCTCAACGTCTAAACGACTATAGATTTCTAGGAATTAACGTCACTTGAAATCGTAATTGCTATAGTCAAAATTCTTTTCTCCAAGTCAAAGAATAATGTCTGAATTACTGGATTTCGAAGAATCAATGTCAATCAAAATGATAATCGTTATATACAGAAGTCTTTTATCCCGTCAAAGGAATAATGTCTGAAAGACGGGATTTCCACTAATGAATGTCAGTCAAAATGTTAATCGTTATATGAATCAGTTTTCCCTTCCGTTGAAAGAATAATTCCTGAACGACTGGAATTCGAAGAATCAATGTCAATCAAAAATGTTAATCGTTATATCAAATGTATTCTCTTCCATTCAAGACTGGATTTGCAAGAATCATTGTCAGTAAAGATATGTTATTCGTTGGGTTTATATTGGAGAAACAACAGCAGTAGCATTGTATCTACTTTTTCTCATAGCTGGTAATGCTTGCCAAGTCTGGAAATTGTAGCATTCCACGGAATTGAAGCAGTTGCGCCCACCCATTGCAATAACAGGGAACTTTAGATTCGCGACGGCTACGAAATCTAATACGGCTACGGGATTTTTTCCTTAGAATATTTGCAATTCTAAACGTCTAATCGTCTTTTTATTTATATTCTGCGTCTTTTTAACAAAGGTTCAGTTGAACCATACACGATCGTGATTAATTCTTAGTAGTTATTGGGAAAACATTACCTCGTAGTCGGACTAGATTTCGTAGCCGTCGCCGATCTAAAGCTCTGTAACGACATCGTCAGTGGCGACGGCTGTACAGCAGTGACTCAAGTATTTCGTAGGAGCTATTACGTTGCGTTCACCGCTTATGGTATTAGCGAGCTTAAGATCTACAACGCGAATTTACGACGCGGACGTCGTATTGAACAAGTTTTATTTTAAAACGAGGACAAATACAATTAAAATACTTTTATCACAGCAAATAAAATGAAATTATACTAGGAAAAATGTACAATATAACAGAGGCTAGCAATATATTAGGAAGATATTTTTTATCATAAGTTTTTACAACTTTTGTGACGACGAATCTTTGCAAATATCACGTCGTCTCGGATAGGTGTTTTGGCGGGAAAATGTGCATACTTATACAATAGTCTAGAAAGCCTAGTTTCTGTCTTTCTTTAAGGCTGATTAACGTGTCATAACAGTGTTACAAATGTCGTAGAAATAGACTCTGACAACTCTGACTAGGCTTTCACTGGAAAACTAGGATCAGGTCAGCACGTCCGCGTCGCAACTCGCAAATTCGCGTTGTAGATCTTAAGCTCCCTATTGTAGTTGAAGGAGTACTTGGTCTTGAAGGCGTCATTGTTATCTTGGGATATCGCTACAACAAAGATGACGTGATGTCTCCGTACAACAGTTGTCGTCTTGTACAAAGAATACTGTGCGCTTGGCATTTCTCGACATTCATTTGTATCCAGATTGTAAATCTCAGTAGACCAAGGTTGAGTATATTTTTTCTCGTTTTTAAAAATGAACAGTTCGTCATTTATAAGTTCTGCTTCATAGAAGTCTCCATGATCAGTTTCTTGCTCAATTGTACAGCTGTACAATTCTTTTGCAGAGTAGGGAGGAGTATGGAGGACTTCGTAAATTTTAAGATAATGAGTTACAACACTACCGCCATCTTGACGGCCATCTTTACCTGATTTCCTCTCACAATAGGTACGAACCACAATCAACTTTCCTTTATAAACGAAGGTTTTATGGCCATGCATAGGAAAAGGAAGTTTTCCCGCAAACATTACCCATTTCAAAGGTAACTGATCGGGATTCAAAACCTCAGGAAGTTAAGGACTATCTGACAACACAAGGCATACATCATCACCGGGTTACACCTATAATAATAATAATAATAATAATAATAATAATAATAATAATGTAAACACATTTTATTTCATTTCATACAAATATTAGTAACCAGCTCTCACTAAAGTATTATAGGCAACCTGGCTACATTATGGTACAAAAGATTAAGAAAAGAATACAATGTTAAACTAAGCTTAAAATATGTACAAATCATCAAAATGGAATTTCTACAGAATGCTATTACAATGGTTATTTTAAAATACGTTCGTAAGGTAACAACGAAGACAGTGTCAAATAAGATAACTGTACATACACATGACAGCATGAATCCTACCAATATAAAAGTTCAGGGCAAGACCATTGTCTGTTTCTAGAGCAAAATATATAATAACTTGTCCTTATGCAGCAGCCGGTTAGTTTTCTAATGATGAATTTTCTTTGCATATCGCTTAATCTTACTTCGCGGTCCAAAAAGTCATAGAACTGTTTACATTCATGACTTAAAACTCCAATCGCGCCCATGCGTAAGTTAAAATACATTACTTTGTTAAATCGTTCTTTTAAAAAGTTACAAAGATCCTTGTATCGTTCCCTTTTCCTTAAACAGTTTTTTGCCATATTAGTTTCAAAGCCGATTGTCAATTCAATAACATATATATTTTGGTTGTTGTCTGATATTACCAAGCCTGGTCGGTCATTACAGCCTGTGATCACAGATGGATTATCAAAACCAGAAATGTTTGCATAAACGTGAAAGTTCCTTCTGACACTAGATATGTACGTTGCTAGGTGTTTCAGCACTGAATTGTGTCTCCATGTGTATCGACCTTCGTCCAGGGATGTTTTGCAAGAAGACACTATATGTTGTAGTGTTTGCACATTCAAGCAGAAATGACACAGATTATTTTGAGCTTTCTTCCACAAAACCATGTTTGTTAATGTAGGTAGGGTGTTATTTAAATATCTAGTTACGAAGTTGAATATGTTTTTAGGGAGTTTGTCAACTGCCGAGTGCCAATCTTTCGCTGCATGTACCCTGGAAAGCATCTCTCCAAATCGACTTAATTATAAGACTCTGCGACGTTAGCTTGCTTTCAATATTAAAGATCTTATCTTTCCTAATTTCTTTGGCAACCTGTTTTGCGGTGGAGAAACCATCGTACTGCACATTACAGTTTGAGCTAGATGCGTAGAAAAGGTTTTGGGTGTCTAGACAACTCGAGTCTTTTAATTTATTTCGCAAAATTACTTGACATTCAGTGAATTTTGTTGATACATCAATGATGTCGAAACCGAATTTGGATTTCCCAAGAAGCAATATGTCAAGGGTGCCGTTTGGTGGTATCTCAAGCCATGTCCGAAATTTATTGTGGCACATTGTGTCTAAAGTTTGCTTTATCCATGTTCTATCAATGTCTGCAATAGTGAGATGCCAAGATATTTTCGGGAGCAGATATTTCATATATAACTCAAGCTTAAATTTTGAGTGTAGAGGGAGACGATCGATTTTTTCTAAGATGCTACTAGTCTCAGACAGCAAGAACTGTTTATGTTCTACGTTATCCATCGGGAAGTTGTAAAATCTACCGAGATAACAAAAGCTTTCGTTTTCCTTTACCGCTGTAATTAAGCCGTGGTTAACGTAAATTTTCGGAAAATACTGCTTGGATAATGAGTTCCTTTTGATAATTCCGAATGACTTGCATTTGTCGACTCTTAGCGTCATTTTTGCCCAATTACACCACATGGTGAATGCATTCAGTAATATTTGTGTCTCGTACTCCTCACCTGTTGTTATCACCGCGTCATCGGCAAATTGAAACCAATGTTTGGGGGTTAGAAACGGCTGCCCAGCATTAAATCCGAGTTGACAAAACTGATCCGTTTTAATGTATTGAATAAACGTATTCATTACCATGTTGAACAACAACGGGCTCAAACAATCTCCTTGTTAGCACTCCTTTACTCACTTTAAGGAACGGTGTTAGATATTTTTCCGTAATCACTACGGTACGAAAGTCAGTATAGAGGTTTGCAATACAATTTTGAAAATGTTCGGGGATTTGATGATATTTTAGTACTGTTTGAATCAGCTTATGGTGGACTTCGCCGAATGCATTTCTTAAGTCAAGTAGTGCTATTGTTAGAGATCTTTGTTGTTTTTTCGCTCGTCTAATTAAGTATGCTAAATGGGTCGTATGTTCAAACGTGCCGGACATTCCCGGAGTAAATCCTTTTTGAATCCTATTTTCAATATAATTGTTTTTTGATAGAAACTCATACATGGCATTCCGTATTGTTGATGTAAAAATTTTGAGAGGCACTGATTGCAGGGTAATTGGTCTAAAGTTTTGAGGATCGTCAGTTGATTCTTTTTTGTGAATAAGAATTGATGCAGCTCTTCTCCAAGTGTCAGGAATTTGACCCGATTTCCATACCGTTTGAATGATTGTTGTAATAATAATAATAATAATAATAATAATAATAATTTAGATTATTTAAATATAGCGCTTATGCTATGGTAGAATATTCTAGAGCGCTGTACAGGTACAAATTTATGCTAATAGACAAAAATAATATACTATGCTATTTATATACAACTAAAACTACATGGATCATGCATGAGAAACAGTATGATACGATCAATATCTTATACCTAACAAATATTAAATCAGTTAAAAGTATGATTGTGCACTACTAATTAAACGCCTTCCTAAATAAGAATGTCTTTAATTCAGTTTTAAAACAGTAAACAGTTTCACACTGCCTGATATAGATAGGAAGGGAGTTCCAAATTTTCGGAGCAGCATGCTTAAAAGCCCTGTCTCCAAGAGTTTTTGCGTTTGTCCGTGGAATCTGTAACAAAAACCGATCGTCCGATCTTAAATGGTGGCTGCCTTCTAACTTAAACGACAACATATCTGCTATATACTGAGGTGCCATCCCATTAAGGGCTAGGCCCCAGGCAAATGGAAAGGTGGAAGGTTTCAGGCCTCAGGCAAATGGAAAGGTGGAAGGTTTCATGAAACCTATGGGTAAAGCTATTCGGGCGCGGCGTGGACAGAGGGTCGCGATTGGCAAAGAGAACTATTTGCATTTTTGATGAACTATCGCACTACCTCCCACCTCTCTACAGGTGTGGCGCCAGCCGAGATGCTATACAAAAGAGTAATTCGATCTACCGTCCTGTCATTCTCTCCGGCACCAGCCAATACAGCTGCAGAAAAGGTTTTGAAAGGAAAAGCTAAGTCGAAACGATATGTAGATACCAGACGACATGCAAGAACGTCAACGATAAAGGAAGGAGATGTAGTGTTGGTGAAACAGACAAAGAAAAATAAGTATACAACCATGTTTCGTCCTCAACCATACAAAGTCATCAATGTCATGTGCGATACTCCAGAGTAACAGCGAAAAGGGGGATCATTTGACTAAAAGAAACATTTCACATTTTAAAAAATTTATTGGAGCGTATAGAGAAACTGTTCAGGAGCCCGAGCCAGAAGACGATATTACCACTGAGGGCGCACAAGCAGACAAGACAACGGTCAAGCCACAATTGAACATAGATATCCTTTTAGAGCAAACAGAGGCGTGCAGCCAAATTTCTATGGACGGTAAAGAACTCGGATTGTTATCGGTATACGGTATACATAGTTGTATTAATAATTGTAGAAGGGACTACAGTACACGAGTAATTCAGAGCTGTTCTTTATGAGAGAAAGAGGGAGATGTTATGTTCAGATGTTATGTTGGGATGTTATGTTGGTGTTACATGAAGTATAGAACGTGGTATCAGGGGGGTGGGGGAACGAGAAGATAGACACATGTGCATGAGTGTGGGGATTGTTCAGTTAGAAAAATAAATAAAGATTTGAAGACAAAACATCTACTACAAATCTGGATTCCGGAATCCATGGGGAGAAATCCGGAATCCAAGGTTGGATCCGAAATCCAAATACCTTCTGGATTACCTCACATGCGGCAAAAAGTTTGCATGGTAAAAATAATATTATTTGGGGTTTGTAATTTAAAGCGTAAAATTAAAATAATAAATAATAAAATTACTAATAAATAAATAAATAAATTGCGATAATAAAATTACAATAATAGATAAATAATTGCGATAATAAATAAGTTGCGATATATTATATATAATAATATTATACCTTAATTTCAAATTGTCCAATGAGAATGTCCAGTTTGTGACACGTGAGCATGAAATTAAACACGATATCAAGCCTTACGTCATCATTTAGCGAGCCTTTTGACAATATCCCACCCCATATTCCCCGGGAAATATGGGGTGGAATATTATTCGTGTCAACCACGCGAGACAACACGCACGACTCCAGCAAAATGGCGAGAAAATTAGTTAATTTAAATATCTCGGCGAGTATTTACCCCCCTTTTAAATAAAAGTCACCATTGTAATCCTCATAAAATAACCTTTCGAACGGGGGGTCAAGTGCCGTCAGAAAGTTACACAAACTGAAACAATCATATATTTACTCACCGCTTGGCCAAAGATTCTAAATTTCATATCCACAAGATCTTGAATATCCCTTGAACTTTTCGACATTTGCTGAACGGCTATATGTGTAAAATACTCTTTGTATTCAAGCGCTTTCGTGTAGAAAGTTTCGTATGTATACACCGACTAGAAATATTTATTTTGAATTTTTCAAGATGTCGGGTTTTACTCGCACTTTGCGTACATTGCGCAATAATTGGCCAATAAGAAGCTCCTTTGGCCGGGATGACGTCAAACTCACGCGTGTATGTGCAATTTGACCTTGCGAACCATTTCTGGCCTTTGCAGGGTCATACGATACAAACGTCGCATTGTTTTGACGGTTTTAAGACGTATTTCCGGTTGGGATTATTCACTTCGAGCTCACAGTCGGACAAGAAATGGAAATATATTGATAAAAGATACAGATTTGTTGATTCAGGGTTGCAAGTAACACTCCAAAAACACTATTTAATGGGGATTCGAACAAGACTATTACAAAGACGATATGTTCGAAGGGGCCGAAGTTATTTTCGGCGAAAGGTATGAATAGTCTATATTTTTGTTCAGACAATTGCGTAATTTGATACAATATTATCGTGTTTGACTTCAAAGGCCCATAAATCGCTACAATGTTGATAATGACTATAACTATAGGGAGGAATTAGTTGAATCTTTTATTTCTGAATCGAATGGTGGTATTTCTGTCCCCATAGCATGCACTGAACCGAGGATATAAAAATTTCTCGCCGTCAACCGCTAGCGGATGACGAGACTGGCTTGTGATGCAAAAGAGTAATGGCGGAGAGCACAAAGGCACAGAATACTACACAGAAGTCCATCTCCATTGTTTTTTGCGTAAGCGTTATTCGTCATGATTCGTCACTCAGCAAGTACCGTAAACAGAAGCAGTCACCCCCCTGGACGTTCGCCATTTTTAGTATTTCCAGGGGGGTGACTGCTTCTGTTTACGGTACTTGCTGAGTGACGAATCATGACGAATAGAGCTTACGCAAAAAAACAATGGAGATGGACTTCTGTGTAGTATTCTGTGACAAAGGCGAGGAAATTCAACGTTTATTTAACAGCAGATACAAGAAAAACACAACAAAAGCGACAAAAAATGCTATTAGTATGTAGTGGTATTTTTGACGAGCAAATTCAACGTACATAAACGGCAGACACGCAGAGGCAACGAAAAATGCTATCAGTATGTAGTGCTATTTTTTGTGGCATATTTTTCGGTATAATATATCATTTATAGACCCCGAGCGAGGGGGATTCGGCAAAATATTAACCCTCAGTGATGATTAATATTTTGCCGAATCCCCTTCGCTCTCCTGATTCCCTTTGCAGAGCGCTGTAACGTTGGCATTATCCAGGCAAATCTTTGAGATCAGTGACGAGATTAGCCCGCGCTGTCATTCCAGCGGTTTTGCTTGTGGTTATCGTCTAGCGTAAATTCTTTTGGAACACGAGCAAAATTCAAAAATCAAAATTCACACGAAGAATCTCATATAAAGCAAATTAACCTAATTTTTGAGGTAAGCAGACCTTTTAAACTTTCCTTTCACTTATTTTGTGAGGTTACTTTAACCAAGGAAGATCTATACCCGTTAAATGTCGCGTAAATTGACTGAAGTGTTGTAATATTTTGTGAAAAAATTGGAGAAGCCGGCCAGGATTGAACATGATGGACAATAAGATAAACATTCGCTGCCCAGAAATATCACTTTATTTTATTTTTGAGCTTTTGGCTGCCAGATTGCAGCCTTCAAAGGGAAGTAAAATGAAATACAACACCTACAATAAATTATATGATTGTGATATACTGTATACAATTACAAAATGTTCGCATAGTTTACAAATAATGAATGTTTATGAGTGCAATGGTAAGAATATTTTCATGAGGTGAAAGATGAAATGTTTTATATAATACCTCGTTACATTCAGATCGTTTGATTGGTTAATTATCAGGGCCGCCCAGAGGGGGGGACCTCAGATTTCAAAATTTTCCTGGGGGTGAATGCCTCCGGATCCCCGTAACAACTTGTCCTACTACAAGTACAAGATAGAATTTCAAGGGCCCCCAAGTCAAAATTTTGTCCCGGGCCCCAAATTTCTCTGGGCGGCCCTGTTAATTATGGTCACGTGATATTGAATAGAAAGTTCCATTCTGTAGAGTACAATAGTATTCGTACTATTGCACTCTACGTTTTCAACACGTTTTTCGCACAGCGATTTCGCAGTTTTTTTACACCGTTTATTATTATAGTTTTTTAATAAACCGTCTGCAAAAGGAATAGCCTATGTTGGTATTATATAAAACAAATAATGAATGTTTTTATTCATGCAATGGCAAGAATATTTTCATTCGGTGAAAGATGGAATGTTCCATTCAACTCGGCTGTCGCCTTGTTCAATAGAACAATCCATCTTTCACCTCATGAAAATATAGTTATCATTGCACTCATAAACATTCATTAATTGTATACTATTCAACAAGGCGATATTCAAATAGGCTATGGCTTTTCAAGAACAATTTATTAAAGACAGGTTACAGTCCCTTGTGCGCATGTCTCTAAAGTGTAAACAAGTGTGGACCAGACATCAGTTTGGCAGCCTTTCTCAGTTGAGGATATCAAACTTGCAGGATTTGGAGCAGTTTAAATCAGTTGTAAATCTTTTGAATGCCGGTACTTGTGTTAAAAGCTGTTTATTCAATGAGATACACAAAAGGATAAAGTGTATTTGTAAACATGCCTTTGTTTACTTTTGTCTATAGCGCCCCCTTTAAAAAAACAATAACAATAAACGGTGTAGTACTCAATTTCATAAAAATTGATCAAAATCACGAATCAAAAATCGCTAAAATTGATAAAAAATATTCAATAATAAATTCAGTTCTTTGTAAATGTCTTTGCGAGTTTGCGATGTATGTACACAGAGTAGAGACATATCTCATAGACATATAGAGACATATGTCTTATCTACTCTGTGGTATGTATTTGAAAATTGCAGTGCTTCCACTTTTAACCACTTGTATTTGAAAATTGCAGTGCTTCCACTTCCATGTATTTGAAAATTGCAGTGCTTCCACTTCTGGTCCTCGTTGATTATAAAAAAGCATTTGATTTAATAGACCATAACATCTTGATTAAAAAGCTTTTTTCATATGGAGTACATGGCCAGTCTCTGGAATTGTTCAAAAGTTATCTTTCTGATCGATCCCAATATGTCAATGTGGACGGTGTTAAGTCATCCTCTAGGCCTGTCGAATGTGGTGTGCCCCAAGGATCTATACTTGGGCCCATCTTATTCATTATATTCATTAACGATCTTCCAGATCAGATCAAACATTCTGTTGCTGATATTTATGCTGATGACACGACGCTTAGCTATGCACATGATTACTCTTCTGCCCCTCAGTCAATTACGGTTGAATTACAGAAGGACATTACAAATCTTGCAGATTGGTCAAGAGTTAATCATATGGTTTTGAATGAAGAGAAAACTAAAACTCTTCTGATCACCGGAAAGCGCCTGAAGAAGAAAATGGGCACCCTTGATATTGATCTTATGCTGAATGGGAAAAAACTCCAACAAGTCACCTCGTTTAAATTGCTTGGAGTTATGCTCGATGATGAACTGAGCTTTGATATACATGTTGACAATATATGTAAGAAACTATCTCAACGAATCGCGGTACTCTGTAAAATAAAGCGTTGCCTCCCATTTAGAGAACGCTGTCTTTATTATAATGCTATGATAAAGCCTATCATTTTCTATGGTTCAGCTGTTTGGACAACAACCTCGAAAGAAAACCTAAACAGAGTTTTTAGGTTACAGAAAAGAGCAGCTCGGGTTATTTTAGATTTGGACATGTCAGCGCGAACAGTTAACATGTTTCAGCAACTAAACTGGATACCATACTACGACGAAGTGAAGATTCTTAAAGCAACAACAGCCTATAAACGTATAAAGAATGATTCTCCGAACTATTTAGATGATATGCTGAAACTGAATTCTAGTGTGAATAGTAGATCCACTAGATATTGCAATTTAAATTTCCTATGCCCTAAATACAAGCGAGAAACCGAAGGTGGTCGTACATTTGCCGTTTCGACCATAAAACAATGGAACCAGCTGCCTAAGACTGTGCGTGATAAGGGGACGGTGGCTTCGTTTAAACACGGCATGAAACAGCTTTTTAAAGAGAGCTTTTAAAGAGAGCTATTTTACTATATAATCTTCGGATTTTAGACGTATGTATATATAGTATTTTATAAATTTAGTACTTAGGTTTAATGTTAAATGTATAATCCATTGAGAGCGGACGGTGGCTTCGTTTAAACACAGCATGAAACAGCTTTTTAAAGAGAGCTATGAAAACATCGATCATTTTACTATATAATCTTCGGATTTTAGACGTATGTATATATAGTATTTTATAAATTTAGTACTTAGGTTTAATGTTATTTGTATAATCCATTGAGAGCCACAAATTTATCAGTGCAAACTGGCATGTGTAACTCTCGTTAAATAAAGTCTTCATTCATTCATTCAATTGGTGAAAATTCCTTAAAATGTCCTTAAAATAAAAAAATTAATTCACGAACCATTTTTTCAGAATTAATTCGAACCCTGCTAGAGGTTCTAAATGTTCAAAGATCTTTCTGCCCCCCCTGAAAAAATGCAGCCCGTACGTCTATTGCACTCTGTGGAAATGGAACTTTCTATTCAATATCACATGACCATAATTAACCAATTAAATGACCAGAATGTAACAAGGTATTATATAAAAATTTTAGTAATATACACAAATAATGAATGTTTATCAGTGCAGTGGTAAGAATATTTTCATGAAGTGAAAGATGGAATCTTGTATTCAACAAGGCCATAGCCAATAGCATAAAAAAAGGCTATTGCTTTTCAAGAACAGTTTATAAAAAAACTAATAATAAACGGTGTAAGTAAACTGTGACCACTGTGCGAAAACCAGTAGAGTGCAATAGTATGAATGCTATTGCGTATGAATACTATTGCACTCTAGAGAGTGCAATAGTAAACTACTACCAGGAAAATATTCCATTTTACTAACTAACTAATTAACATTCATGCGAACATCATATTTTTGTAATTGTATATAGTATATCACAACCATATAATTTATTCATTGGTGTTATATTTCATTTTTACCTTCCTATTGAAGGCTGCAATCTGGCCGCAGAAAGCTCGAAAATAAAATAATATTTCGGGTGGCAGAATGTTTATTTTTTTGTCCATCGTTATATTTTGTGTTAAGTATTAAATGAGCTGTGTCACCATCAGTGCATCTTTTCTGTGCATATGGCTTAAACTTCGGGATATGTGTGAAACTGTAAGAGAACACTTCATGTGTCATGGTGCCATCGGTAAACACAGAAATAATGCATGTGAATTGATTTAAACATGAAAATATGTCGGATTTTGAACAATCCAGCAAGTTTTAAAGTTTAAAATCAATGTTACGAAGTTAAAACAATATGCGCAGAAAAGATGCGCAAAAGATGCACATCTGGAGATAACACTGTAGCTTCACTCGGATAGAAATGAATGATTGACCAAATCCAAATGAATCTACTAGGGTTAGACGTGGTGCGTTGAATAAATTGAACTCGAAGATGCAATTTTGACGACACAATTATATCACTTTAATGAACAGATGACAGGATATATATATATATATAGGCGTGAAGTATGTACAAACAATGATATCACGATACGACGACTTGTAGGAAATAGAGTGTAGAAATATAGATCAATGTTGTAGGTTTGTTTGTAGAATCAAGTCTTCACAAATTGCCTCTTTTGGGGTCGTTTAAGGAGTCGTTTATCGTGGTATATTGTCCTTGTAGATAGACGTTCGGTCGATAGATAATGTATAGAACCGCGTAGAGTCCTAATTCGTTCGAATCGATAATTCGTTAATTCGTCAATTTGGTACTGGTAGGATTGGTAAATGGGTAGTTCGATCATTCGGTTATTCGATCATTCGGTTATTCGATCATTCGGTTATTCGCTTATTCGATCGTTCGGTTATTCGAGAATTCGGTAATTCGGTTCGAACTAAAATACAATGAGCAAACAAACTAACTATAGTAAAGTATAACAACTATAACAAATATAAGTTATATAACAAGAAATGACCGATATTGATACTCTATACTTAATACTAATTAACGTGCAAACATTTACTTACACATGCGCCGTTTAGCATGCACTAAACTCAATTTTAGCGACGCGTGAATCGAAAGTGTTGCGTTATCTTAGCGCAGATTTTGCCTATACACAAATACATATACTTGCGCAAATTGAACAAACACGAAGCGAGACTGGAATTACCCATGCATGAAATAACGCAATTTATTCTATAAAGTCACTTTTATGTGAAACATTTCGCGCAGTCTTAATGCCGCAAAAACAACTTATTATCTATGTACTTACTTTGGTTTGCTAACGCACCAAACTTTAGCTCTTTTTACAGCGTAGACTTAACGGCGGCTTCTTCTCTAAGCCGGGATAGAACGGTAGATATAGTCTTCTTAACGTGGATAGAACTTGGCTAATACGCAGCCCAAACTGTTATTACTTACTCACAAGCGTCCGCGTTAACGACTTATGGCCGAATGAACACTGCAGGCTATGTAAACTGTTTTAATGCAAAAAACAACCGGAATTTAATGCGCAAACAACAACTCTATGTTTTTCGCAACGGACATAGCGTGGCTAGGCTTGGCAACCGCATTGCGCATTTGCTGACCATACTTGCGCATTTGCTAACCATAGCTGCATTTTTCTGATGGGAATCTAGCTAACTGCGGAAAATAACTTTGCTTCTTGCAGTATCTGCAAGAATTAGGCAAAATAGTTGAAGATTCGTAAAGAAATTCTTTGTTATGCGACAGATTATAAAAATATTTTTCACTGAATAATTGCATGGAAAACTTGTAACAGAGGCTGTGAAGTAAGGAAACAGACATGTTCCTTGACCCCCAAAAACTTTCCGTCCATTCAAACCAGTTAATTTTTTTTTAATACAGGAATTTTGAGTTTTTCTGTTTTTGTATCGATTTGAAATTGAAATGTTCTCAATAGCAACTACAGAATTTGAATGCATTTGTGGTGCTTTCATTGACTTGGGAGTTAAAACTTTTCCTATTAAATGTTGTCCAAATACTCCCCCCCCCTAGAAAAAGTCACTTTTGAGTCCTTATACATGTTACTTCTTGATCCTTGTATCAAAATTTTTCTACCCTTTGAACATTGGTAGACATTAGGTAAAGCTATTTATTATATGTATTACAAGTATTCTGTTGAATAAATGTGGTGTAGAAATGCCGGTATGCTATATTTCTCACATGTGAAAAAAGCAACACGTCCAATCAACGCCACGTAAACCATTTTTCACACGTGAAAATATAACCAATCAGAAAAAAGGAACAAATTTGAAAAACATAGAGTTGTTGTTTGCGCATTAAATACAACAACTTTATAATCAACGAAATATCCTTGTGAGTTTTGTTTAATGTATTCTTATTGCATTGGTTTTCGATAAATTCGTCCATAGACTCGTCAAGTTCAACAAAACGAGTAGCTAGCTCGGGCATTTAAAAGTAAACAAAGGCCGCCAGACTGCAGAACAATTCGCGCTGTTTTTTCATTGGCTCTCGAATTTGTTCCCTTTTTCTGATTGGTTATATTTTCACGTGTGAAAAATGGTTTACGAAGCGTTAATTGATTGGACGTATTGCTTTTTTCACATGTAAGAAATATAGCATACCGGCATTTCTACACCGCATTTATTCAACAAAATACTTCTAATACACCGTACGCATCACTTTTCATGAAGTATCCTCTATATATTATGAAATTTAGCACAAAAAAGTTTTAAGAATTAAGCGTTACAGTACCCTACAAATTCCGTAAAGTATCTCCCAGGGCTGTGCCAATTAAGCCACAGTGATGGTATAATTCAACATCGAAGAAATGGCATATTGTAAACACTGGGCTGGACATTGGACTTTCACTTTCTCCAACAACTTACCCAGACCAGCAACGATTATACAAATGATTGTTGATAATATTATTTTTATACAACAATTTGTATAAATGAAGCAATTTCATTGGTTACTTAGTGCGCTATTAAATAAGGTTTAAATTCCGGATGATGATGGCACACAACTGCTGCAAGACATTTCATTTTTTCACTCACAATGTATAAATGAAATAGATTTTATTTTGCCGAGCATGTGTACCGTAATAGAACACGGAATACGTTATGCAATGAAATCTGTTAATTAATTTGTTTTACTTAAGCTCGTTTTCCAGTGGGCTTTATACATCACGAGTTGATTTCGGCTCAATTTCCAAATCAACAATCCTGAAACTTAATCTCTTATTCTTAACCAGGCCAAAAACAAATGTAAAAATTATTAATTATAATATTAATTCCTGTTCATGCGCCATTTTAGAGTGTTGATTACGACACAACAATAACAAGCAACACACAACAAGCTTGGTGATATTAAAATTACGTGGTGTAAACTACAAACTTTAAAGTAATCAAACATTTTTCCCCAATTTTTTCGGGTCACTTTGCATGTATTACATGGAATTAAATTCCATATAACTTAGCCCAGATTAGTGATGGCAGCTAATAGAATTAGGGCCAGTTTTAGAGTCAGTGAAAGTCCAAATTCCAGTCCAAAGTCCAGTCAGTGTTTACAATATGCCTAAAAGAAAGCTCTTCTCCATCTCTTAGAACGTGTGTAGGTTCCAAACGCGTATAGTTTGAACCCTCTTCGTAGGGGAAACTTTTAAAGTGCACCTAACCCCATTTTTGTTTTTAATATAATCTGAAAGATTTTGATTTTAGAAGAGTTTTGCAAATTTTTTTTTCAACTTGGGTGCTTCTTGTATTCGTAATCACGGCTTGAATATCACTAAATTAATTCAAAATTGCCGCCATTTTGGTTCACGACCGAGCATTCTTGTTAGCAGTCCGGTGACAAATGTGTGACGTAAATTCCGGACAACGACAGAAGCCTTTGTGTATTATTTGCAAAATTGCGCATTCACTCGCTGTTCGATACGCGGAAAAAATGCCTGAAAGGTGCGTCGTATATGGCTGTAGTAACACTAGAAACGCGAAAGAAGGAATATCCCTTCATGTTATTCCTTTTTGCGCGGACGAAAGGACAGAGGCGAAGAAAAGAAGGAGAAAGTGGGTAGATTTTGTTTGCCGAACACGCGCAAACTGGATGCCCACACGGCCCGATCAGTCGTGTGCTCTCAGCACTTCAAGACGGAAGATTTGTCACATTGTTATGCTAATGTTGGAGAAGAAGGAAGTCTTTCGAGTAGATGGCTCAAACGAGATGAAATAGGAATGGACCTTTAACCTTATAACTAAAATTGGAAAAACTTTGAAATAGGATAAATCCATCGCCACAGCTTGAAAGAGCATCTTGAATTTAGTAAAATTGCAAAGTTTGGTTGCGAAATGTTGTAAAGGAAGGAAACTATGACCTTGCAAAGTTGGCAATTTTTGTATACTTTAGTATTACGCGCGGGGAAAAGTTACCCCGTTCGAAAAAATTGTATTACATTTTCGCGCACGGGGTAACATTTCTCCGCGCGTAATACAAAAGTATACAAAAATTGCCAACTTCGCAAGGCCATATTTTCTTCACTTTACAATATTTCGCAACCAAACTTTGCAATTTTACTAAATTTAGGATGCTCTTTCAAGTTGTGATGATGAAATTTCTTATTTCAAATTGTTTTAGGGTCCATTGTTGTATTTGTTTCCTGGCCATGCCTTTCTGAATACTTCAATTACTGCTGCTAAATGCTTCATTTCTTGTATTACACTAGTGCCTAAAGTAAATGCAAAGACGAAGGAAAGGCAGCCACCAAAATGCAGTCTGTGCAAGCAGCTAATGAAAGGACACAAAAATGTTGCCAATTGCCCAAAGAATAAAAAGACATGAATATCAATTTATACTATTTTGTAGTTTTTCAATTGTTTTTTTTTTCATGGAAGTGGTACCAATATTAGTATATGTAGGTAATTTAACTTATATACAAGTATCTGCCTTAGACTTATCTCTCAGATGAGAAATGATTTAAATAAAATAATTTCTTACAAGCATGAACAAACAGAAACTCACTGCCTACAGTAAGCAACACAATAAGATTCAAAATCTTGAGCAATTAGATCAATGAAAGGCCTCTGCTCAAAACTTTGAATCTTATTGTATCATTTAGGAAGTGGGCACCTTACCTACACTGGCCACGCTTTGAAAATTCTTACAGGGCATGCTATTGGAATTGATTACAGTCCCTCGTTAAAGTTTTATGGAACCCACACCTTACTACAACATTCACACACAAACAAGGTGATTAGATTAGAAACATGTGCTCTCATTCGAAAATTATTTATTCAAACCCATCAGCCTCCCGTAAATAGCATTAGCAAAAACAATTTAGTTAATAGAAGAATTGTTATGCCTCACTTCATACTCAACATATTTTTATTAGTTATATTGAGCTGTTCACCATCTTCTATTGAGCTAATTTTTATTGCCAATGTCACCTGTGCATCATGTTTGCTACAATCATGTTTCTTATAATCATGTTTGCTACAATCATGTTTCCTACGATCATGTTTGCTACAATCATGCTATTAAAATGATGGGATAGTGGTATTTAACAAACTGTCATTGAAAAATATCTAAATTGTTGAAAAGTTTGTAGTGGAAAAATGCTTTTTGCTGTCATGTAAAAATTATTAAGAAAATCAGCTTTCATCATCTTCATCTATTTCAAATCCAGTTAATTCCTCATCCTTGTTTGGTGTCCCTACCATTCGCCCATTCAAACGGTCCTTCATTCTTCCTTCTTCTTCTGTGTTTTCCCTCATTTCTTGTTCATAACGAGCGGTCCATTCTTCACTTGCAACAGGGTCATCTGCGCATAAAGCATCTTCGTCACTCGAATCTCGAAGGCTGGAATATCTTGCTTCGCTTAAATCATCGTCTGATGATAGTTCGACCTCTCCTTCGTAATCAGAGTGTTCCTTACTTCTGTATCGATCGGAATCAGACGAAGTTGAAGTCATTTTATTGTAATTTATACATAGAGAACATAGAATTATTTATTGAAAACAGTGATATTCACGTTATTTGATACAGTTTGATAGTAGCCGAAAGTATCGAATGTCCGGAATTTACGTCACAGACCTAACTCTCCCCAATCTCCTGAAACGCGGCTGTTGGTCGAACACAGGCTGTCTTTCACAGGGACCAGTAATCAGAGAGAATTTTTGTGCCAAAAATCTTGAAAAATCACTATCTTTCAGATTTTGTTACAAACAAAAAAGGGGTTAGGTGCACTTTAAAAAATAAGCCAAATTGTGGATGTGTGAATTTTATTGGTTTATTGGGGGTTATTCTAAACGGCTATTCAAAAATATGTGTGACTTGGTTTTTTTTCAATTAATTAACGTAATCGACTCATTTCCACTTTATGTTCACCACATGTTCAAACGTCTTGTCATTTATTTATTTTTAGTTCTTGCCGCAAAAAAATGCGTGCCAAGCAAAAACCATATCAATGTGCTGTTTGTGAGAAGAGATTTGCAACCACCAGCGACCTGGTGAGACATGAACGAACTCACACTGGAGAAAAACCTTATGAATGTGATCTTTGTGAGAAGAGATTTGCAGTGTCTAGCAGCTTGGTGACTCATAAACGAACTCACTCTGGAGAAAAACCATATGAATGTGGTATTTGTGAGAAGAGATTTGCACAATCCAGTCACTTGGTGAGACATAAACGAACTCACACTGGGGAAAAACCTTATGAATGTGATATTTGTAAGGAAAGATTTGCAGAGTCTGGCCACTTGGCAAACCATAAACGAACTCACTCAGGAAAAAGACCTTATGAATGTGATATTTGTAAGCAGAGGTTTACAGTGTCTAGGAGTTTGGCGACACATAAACGAACTCACTCTGGAGAAAAACCTTATGAATGTGATATTTGTGAAAAGAGATTTGCACAATCCAGCCACTTCGTGAGACATAAACGAACTCACTCTGGAGAGAAACCATATGAATGTGATCTTTGTGAGAAGAGATTCACTGTGTCTGGCTGTTTGGTGAACCATAAACGAACACACTCTGGAGAAAAACCTTATGAATGTGATATTTGTAAGCAGAGATTTGCACAGTCCAGCACCTTGGTGAAACATAAACGAACTCACTCTGGAAAAAAACCTTATGAATGTGGTATTTGTAAGCAGAGATTTGCAGTGTCTAGCAGTTTGGTGATACATAAACGAACTCACTCTGGGGAAAAACCTTATGAATGTGATATTTGTAAGCAGAGATTTGGACAATCCGGCAGTTTGGTGAAACATAAACGAACTCACTCTGGAGAAAAACCTTACGAATGTGATATTTGTAAGCAGAGATTTGCGCAATTTGGCGACACATAAACGAACTCACTCTGGAGGAAAACCTTATGCATGTGATATTTGTACAAAGAGATTTAGACAGTCAAGCCACTTGGTGAAACATAAACTAACTCACTCTCGAGAAAAACCTTAGATGATCGACGTTTGCAAGAATTGATGTAAACAGTTAAACTAGAAACTTCTTTTTTTTTCTGTCACCAAACCTCGAAAATTCATATTCAAGTTAGCGGTTCACATACAGTATTCACATAGCGGTTATTACTGTGCTAAACACGAGGTTGCCTATGGGAAGTCAAATCTTTTCAAGTAATTGACCTATCAATAATCCGTAAATCTCATTCCCTGCATGTGGGAGGTTAAATCCAATCTAATCGTGTGTGAATTAAACCTGTAGAAATGAATCTTATATACTTTACAGGGGGTACCGAAAAAACCCAAAATATTGAAAATGATCTATTATCATCATATCTTCAGTGGCCTAGCTCTAAGCTAAATGTAAAGAGTGCAAAATGTTGACAGGGTGCATATATTAAGTAATAACTTCATTATTACAGTCGATTTCAGGTCACTTTTGAAAGCTCGGTTTTGAATGTTGCTAATTACGTCACCAAATTTGGAATGTCACGTGAGAACTTACAAAGCCATATTTGCATGTTGGTGAATTAAGTACTGAAGTTCCCAACTAAAGTACTTAAGTACTGAACTTTGCTCGTTGAGCTTGCAGCTGCAACCGGTTGGAACTAATTGAGCTTAGACAAAATCTTCGAGCAAAAAAATTCGCTGGCGCAAAACCGGCTTTATAGTTCGTTATTTCAGTAACTTAGTTCGGTACTTCAGTACTTTAGTTTAGTACTTCAGTACTTTAGTTTAGTACTTCAGTACTTTAGTTTAGTACTTCAGTACTTTAGTTCAGTACTTCAGTACTTTAGTTCAGTACTTCAGTACTTTAGTTCAGTACTTCAGTACTTTAGTTCAGTACTTCAGTACTTTAGTTTAGTACTTCAGTACTTTAGTTCAGTACTTTAGTTCAGTACTTGAGTACTTTAGTTCAGTACTTCAGTGCTTTAATTCAGTACTT